CGATAATAGTTTCAGTAATGATTCTAGCTAACTCTAAATTATTACTCGCTTCCCAACCAGTGACATTCTCACTGTGAAATACTTATAACTTTGGAAGCTTCTGACTGTCAGGACGCGATTCCAGGCATGAACTCTCTACCATTGCCTGAAAGAAGCCAAAGTGGGGCCACGAAGTACCTTTCTCTGGTGAAATCATATCCCAAGCAGTACACTTCTGTTGATGTGAATCGTTTCGTTACGGCGGTCTCAACTGCGGAGTTGCTTGAATTTCTTTATTCGCTGATTGATACCTCTGTCGAGATCCCTGGCTCTATCTGGGATAAGGGCAGCGAGGCCGTCTTGTTGCAAAGCCTGGTCGATGGGAACTGGGCCGGAGAGTTTGTTGTAAATCAGGTAAGCGTTATCATTTTCGTGAATTGCTCAGCTACGATGGGGTGCGATTTTTATATTGTTTGGGGCGCAATGAGTACGCTGGCATAATCACGGTATTAATTTTAGCTATCCATTGGATTGGAGAACAGATCATCACACATTCTGTGACGCGATTCAAATCGTCCTTAGAGAAGATGAATTCGTGAGTTAACGCATTCCGATTAGCATCAGTTGAAGGAGAAGCACTTATTCACGCGCAACCTTTTACGTCTAGTCGTCGTTTAGCGCTTTGTTCTTTGAGACCTCCGTCACACTCGGCGTCGGACAGGCCATGGAGCGACGCGATCGGCGAGTCTGACGGCGGTCTGAGGTCGCTACAATACTCGCTAAGTACTCGAAATAGTTCATGATTACCGATTCGATCTCTTAGAATGTCGGTCAGACTCTGCGATTGCACCGCGCTGACGTATATCTGTCGTTTGTTGAGTCGCATTTGGCCCGCAACGTGAACTTTGTTGCGCTTAATGGTGGCCGAAGCCGGTTCATTGTGTTTTGATATGTGATCTGATCATTCGAAAGATTAGAGTTAGCTACATATCCTAACCTTCCATTATATAAACTGTAGTAGATTTTGTCTTGTACAAACCGCATTTTTTGCTTTGCTAAGTTGAAGGCCAAAGTGTTATAATTTGACTTTTCAGTGTGAACCCTGATGCGGAATTTCTCTTTGCATTCTGTAATGGTGTGCTTTCGCGGCTCCCCAGTCAATTTTCACATCTAGTCAGTCAAATGGTCCCGCTCTGGATCTACGCTATTCTCGCGCATTCAACGAAAAGAGGTCAGTAATTGCATTTTGGAAGCCCTCCTTGCCAGTTTCTGGATTAAGCTCAAAATTTTTTGAAGTGTTGACTGTGCCCTGATGCTGGCTTTTAGTCAGCTCTCTGCCACGCCTACCATTGAAGCCTCTTTTACGGAAACAGTATTTGGTGGTAAATTTGCGACAAGGCCTGGAAGGTTGTTTAGTGGAGACAGCCAGACGAAGAGAGAGGAGACAGAGAGAGAGAGAGAGAGAGAGAGAGAGAGAGAGAGAGAGAGAGAGAGTAGCTGAAGCCTTCACTTTTCTTCGAGAGATTTTCATTGTTTCTTCATTCGTTAGTACTTTTTGTGCAAATTTAGAGTATGGCCGAAAAGGTTTACGTCGTTGATTTGGGATCACATAAATGCGAATCTTGAATAACATTGTACCATGTGCGACCATGGAGTTATCATTAGGAAACCCGGAAGCGTTCATCACAACATTTTTCACGGTAACTGCTGTGTCTGCCTGTAACTTTATTCAAAGGAGGGTTTTCTAGTTTCATCCCCAATTTATTGCACATCTAGGCGCTCGGCAGTAGTACCGCATCAGGCGACGTCATACGGAAGATAGTTGCAGATTCGGTGACGATTCACCTGGCAAATCAAATAGCTGCTCTGCTGAAAAATGACGATAAGGAGCTACAGGTAAGCGTTGCTCGGCCCGTGGTGTGAGCTTTCACCAAAACATTGTAAAAATGTTAAGACTAAGAGGAATTTGAAATCCAAGTGAATGAACAAAGCGCAGAAGGTGGAGGCGGACGTTGGTCCTATTGTAGGTCGATGAGGGCGCGTTAGTTATGGGGATAAGGTTGAATAGGACCCTCGAGAATATGTTGGGTTCTTAGAAAGGAGCGCCACCTGTCATGAAAAGTAGTATGTACCGGGGTTTTCTGCATCTCATCCTACTCTTCGATCTGGATTTTGGTTCTCAGAAAAATGTCTCTTGCTGCGAACTTCTCGCAGGTTCATACTCGCCCAGCCCTATAGCCTTTTTCTGGATCACTATTTAGTAGTGAAAACTTTTTTTCAGCTTGGCTCTTGCTTCCAATGTTGTAGAGAACATCTTATGATAGTTTTATCAGGAACGAAGTATAAGGATAGGTGTGGCGAGATGTTCTGGAATTGTTTGGTTCCATTCTGTTGGCACAGTCGCTGAAGCCGATGCACAACGTACCGGGCTTAACCGTACTGCTTTTGTTGTGCTGACACAAGCTCTGGTTTCTAAGGTATCTTGAAATTTGAATTACATAAGCTCTTATTCTTTAATCGGTCACTTGTTCAGGATCCACATCCTTTTATGATTCTTCTTTTGAATTTTGAAACTTTTCATTCCAGCCCCAATCCCTATTCATGTCATCCCCAGCAGAGTTCCCCTTCATTGAGCAATTATCTTTATCCGCTCAATCGGGGATATTGCTGGAGCTGCACAATTTTTCTAATATGTGTTCTTATTTCAGATGGTTAAAAGTTCAATGGATCCGGATTTCCTACTGCAAATTGTTCCATCATATGTGGCAGCACTAGTAAGATTGCCGTACAGAATTTTCATCTACTCTCGTATCAAGGATCTGCTCTTCAAGTTTGGAGACGATTCAACGATAGCGTCAAGAATAACAGTGGAACTCGAGTTCCTGCATGGGACGGTAAATAATTCTTTCAAGTTCGAACCATTAGAACAATTGGCTTTCTTACTTGGTATGTTGAAAGTTCTATCATGATACTAGGGGATTGGGCTTTATCGGGTCTTTATTTTATACGGCCCATGAGTCAGCAGACTGCTAAACCCCTTATTTTTTATAAAATCACTTTTCACTCGCCACGTTAACGTGCGGCCCGCTAAAAGGATGGCGACATTTATTCAGCAACTTCGTTCGAGTGTTATACTTACCGCAGCAAACTCACATAACCACTGTTTACGGGGTCCTGATCAGCACCTGACGTTATCGCAGAAAACTCAGATAATCGCTGTTTACGGGGTGTTGGTCAGTCTCTGGTGTAAATCTCCTGAATGACAATATTTATTTTCGCTTTTCAGAAAACCATGTTCTAAAGACCTGTTCACAGTACCGCAAATAAAGTTACTCCTGAAAGTTTTCAAAATTTATCTTGTTCCAGGCACACTACAACCAGCTGGCTAAGGAATCTGATCAACGGTTACGAAAATTTGTCACGAGTCCTGAGCAATAGCGTTAACTGAACTCACCCATATGGTCTTCTGAACCTATAGCGTCTCCCGAAACGTTCGCAGTTCTCTCTACCTCAGTTCACAATTTATTGAACAGTGTTTATAGAGAAAAGCACAATGGTAATAAGGGCTGACCATTATTACTTTCGTAAGCATTTCGCTTTGAAGGCAAGAGTATTTGATACTTACCGCGATTTTCTTTTGCATGTCGTAAACCTCGGTTTTTCTGTTGAAAATTTGTTACAGCGCCGCTAGGCGTTCTTGATGATCTCGCAGTAGGGCAGCAAAAGAATTCACTCGACTCGACACAGTTGATATGCATGCTCGAAGCTTTCAGTAGGCTTTCCTAATTGCTGCCAAAAACACTAGAAATTTTTTTTCAAAGTAATCTGAAATTCCACAGTTGCTGACGTAGCATGCACTTCTACGATTTCGATCATTTGACCAGCTCGATGTCTCGCTTCTTGTGATTATAACACCGTTTTTGAAACTGTTGATACCCCTTGGTTCAGCAAACTGCTGGGATCTTTCCCCAAGTCAGGGCTACATTTGAGGCTGTTGACCATGACGATGGCTAAGGTGACACTCCCAGCTCTACGGTCATTCACTCTGCTCAGCGTTGACTTAGCTCCAGATACGATTTTATTTCGTCATGTTACAGTTGGGTTATTTTATCTCTTCTGTTGATCATCCATCATATTTACCGGTGAAAGAAAGGGTGAAGGGAAGGAAGGAGGTCTAAAAAGTTCTGCAAGAGAGGCATCGAACTGCTTCTAATGCGTTGACAGTAGGCTGAAGATAATAATGGTCTGTCCTATGCTGGATGAATTGAATTTTGAAGGACCAAAGGCGCGTTTGTGGAGTCTGGACTAAAAGTGAACGTTAACTTCACCCTTTATCCTCCGCTCTTTACCTTCCACTTCGGTGACCCTAGTCTCCTCGTCTAGAGAATTGTTAGGCGGCTGGTGTCAGAGTCCGCGATTTTTTTGCGATTGGCGATTTTTCGCGCGATTGTCGCGATTTTCGCGATTTGCGCGATTGTCGCGATTTGTCGCGATTGTTCGCGATTTTCGCGATTTTCGCGATTTTCGCGATTTCGCGATTTTCGCGATTGTCGCGATTTTCGCGATTTGCGCGATTGTCGCGATTTTCGCGATTTGCGCGATTTTCGCGATTTTCGCGATTTGCGCGACGGGTCACGGAAATCACAAGTGCCCCATCCATCACAATGACCGTCGCGTGGGACAATGGCACCCAATGGTGGGTGCCACCCTAAAACTTTCTTCTTTACCCATTTAAAACGTTTTTAACATATCAGTAATTATAAGCAAGCTCCGATGTGCCTATGTTTAGCATATTTTGCAGAAATGTTTGTTACTAGCTAATTTATATGAAATTTTAGGATTGGGCACTTCGCTCGGCGAAGTATTAATTAATGTTTTACATTATTGAGCTTAGGGTGAATTACAGAATTTTTCAGGGGGAAAACCCCTATGTACCGGGGGGGTTCTTTGTTTTCGTCCCAAACTCACAGTCTTGAGACACAAGGAGGAGTTTGCACCATCCCTCTAAAAATCCGAGATTTCTTTCCAAACTTCCACTTTTAATTCCAACAACACATGATCACAAAGCTAAGACTGCAGTCATATTTTGTTTATTGTCATAGTCAAAATTTTGATAGAAAAACTGCTTTTAGGGACAATTTTGCCCCATTTTGTGCGAGAGTTGGGCGCGCAAAAAGAGGCGTGGTCCCACGAGCACGCTACGTGCAAATCCGCATTGTCGTCAAAGGGTTAATGGAGACTGCTCATGATTCCACTTGTTTCATATCCAGTGTTTCAATTGTTCAAATGGGGCACTTGCAATTTTTGTGATTGGTTTGGTTTGATTCCTGAAAAAAAAATAGGAACGATTCAAGAGCATTTCAATGAACTAATAGACATTGAACATGAAACAAGTAGAACCACAAACATTCGTCTTCCAATCTTTACTGCCAAGCAGAATTCGCAGCAGGATTAAACAACACCTCGCAGTATTCATCGGGCACTTCCAACTCCTGTGATCCATCGCAGGTTTCGCGAAAATCGCGCAAATCGCGAAAATCGCGCAAATCGCGAAAATCGCGCAAATCGCGAAAATCGCGACAAATCGCGAAAATCGCGACAATCGCGCAAATCGCGAAAATCGCGACAATCGCGCAAATCGCGAAAATCGCGACAATCGCGAAAATCGCGAAAATCGCGAAAATCGCGCAAATCGCGAAAATCGCGACAATCGCGCAAATCGCGAAAATCGCGACAATCGCGAAATCGCGAAATCGCAAAAAAATCGCGGACTCTGACACCAGCCTTTAGCACTCGATCGGGCGACAGTGGTGCTCATAAAGGGGGCGGAAGTGGGTGTTTGCGAATTGCCGTGGCCTTCCTAAAGCGCCATTTGGTCGGCTGCTCTCATGTATTTGTCTCGCTTAGCTAAATCCCACAATCCACACAAATGAAGTTGTGCAGAATCAACGGATAGATAGCGAACACATATTAGCATTAGCCTCACGCTTTCTCAAGGTCAATCCCTTTTGTGTGATTTTCACAGCTTGTAGTGAGCGGCTTGGAATAGTCGGTTTTCTAGAATCTCTGTCAAAAGAGATCGTGTACACTTATTGTTTCAGCGGTTGAAACTTGCTCGTTCTTTCTATTCTGTGAGTTTCCTATAGCTTTCATGAATTTGCATAGCTCTGTTGTTATCTATAAATTTAGTTTCTTGTTCGAGGGCTATGTAATTCATTTTCTATTCTTCATGGCTAAACCATGTTATCTTTGCCGTCGGTATTTTTAACCCTTTCCTGGACCGCGCTTTTTATGCCCATCGCGCGCTGTACGGCAGGCGCGTATAATATAATTATTGATCTGTGTTCGTTAGCAGTCAATTACTTTGTCCCGCATTTCGTATGTTTCCACTTGCCTTAAGAGTATTGTCTTGAGCGGAATTATGGCAGGAACCGTAGCCCCGATGCTAATAAAGTCATTAGGGCATGAAAAGGGAGGCAAGGAATGAAATTGGTTTCAACTAAGCTTGTCAGTGCGCGGGCAAAAGGGACCCAGAACCGGTGCGGAAACAGCTTCGGATTTAATAGTAATTCAAGATACCGAATGTCGTTGTTGTTATAACTTCGGTTGTATGAAGTGTTTTCAAGTGATTTATAACTGTTTTCTCTGAACTCAAAGCGGTCATCCATTTAGTATTTAGTTATTTTAAAAACTATTTTGAGGATGAAGTCTAGGTTTTCTCATACGTACGAGATGAGTATCTTACATGGATATGTAACAACGTAAGAGATTTCGTCAAAGGAACCGTATTCTCGGAAAAATAGTCACCTCTGACACACCATTGCGGTGTCAGCGCCGCGTCTCGGACAAGTGCCGTTAATGCTGGCGGGTACATCTCTCGCTATTTACATCTATGATCACTGTGTGTCCTAATGGAATTTTACAGCTTGCGTAACTTTACGTTCCTCAGATAAATGCTTCTCTCGAGCAGATCCGTTCGTCCCGATAATGCGGTCACAATGCCAGCCGTTTATCTTCCTCGTCGATTTAGGACATAATGCAGGCAAAGTAACAGAGGGTGCTCTCTCGATCTCTCCCTACTTATTATGTGACAACCTAATAAAAAGGAGATCTCGATTTCCAGAGGGCCGTAGACACTCAATCTTCGAAAAATCCACAAGAGAAGCAATACTAAGCTGACACAATAATACGCTCGAGAAAATGCGTCAGCAAAAACGGGAGCGCAGGATTTCCATGGAAACTAGCTTTGCAGCCAAGCCTACCAGTTTTATCTGCACTTCTGACACTTTGCTTCTCTTTTGAATCTAGCTAATCGACCAACTGGTCTATCCTACAGATTTAGTCGATAATGGAAGGCTTGACAGATACTTGCGAAGGACGATGATGAATCAATCAATCCTCTCAGAATGCGCCACATAAACACCTTCCTTTCGGCCCGTAGACACTCTTGAGAACATGAGGCACATTTAAACTATCTAATCCAATTGATGTTGGCTCTACAGCACTCCCATAACTTATGAAGTGATTAACAGTGGAGCAGAGATGAAATCGAAAATTTATTTGCCCAAACGAATCCAGCTAGCGTTCCCCCGAACTGAACTCGAGAGTATCCGAATTCCCTGAACTTATTTACATTAGCGAAGTAATGGGCGGAAGTGGTGTAGTGGCAAGTGGCACGCTTACCACGCGAGCGGTCCGGGGATCAAATCCTGGGTCGTGAGTCGCCCGGGCCAACCAAGCCTTCCATCCCTCCGGGGTCGGTTAATTGGTACCAGACTTGTCTGGGAGGATAAAAACACTGACTTGTACATCGGCTGGCCCCGCAAGTCATTGTATAGGCCACATCGCATTCAAACGCCACTACGAATGTACAAATGGAAGTAGAATGCGTGCCGCATCCCAAAAAGGGATTGATCAACGGCAAATGCTTTATCCTTTATCCTTTAATTCATCTCTTGCTTCAAACATACCTATAAATTTTATCACCTTCTTTGAGGCAGTCAATAGTGGTCTAATGGACATTCCACTCGGACAAGCCCTTTCCAGTTTCCTGCCTGAGTCCTCACAATCAGCAATGATGCATGCACTTTGGAAGACTTTCAAATCTCCCGATAGGTCAGGTCACCGTTAAATTGTGCGATGAGAGGAGCCCGAGCGGCCTAGGCTTAAGCTTTCTATACATTCACACATTTGCTTAGAGGTGACCTGAGCTGATAGGGAGGATCGATATACACCTCCTTATCTTTGGCCGCATTATGCCTAAACCATGAGAAGATAACGTTGGCCTTGTGACCGCAGTTATCGGGACGACTTCTGCTCAAGAATTCAAAACATTTTATCTGAGGACACGCGAAAGTTACGCAAGCTGTACAATTCATTAGGACACACAATTTGATATGAGATGTATATGATGATGTACCCGCACATTAAAAAGTAAACCGACCAAAAAGTAACATGGTTACCATAAATAGAAAATGAAGTACAAACGGACCCCTTGAACAAGAAACTGAATTTATAGATAACAACAGAGCTATGCAAATTCATGAAAGCTATAGGAAACTCACAGAATGGAAAGAACGAGCAAGTTTCAACCGCTGAAACAATAAGTGTACACGATCTCTTTTGACGGAGATTCTAGAAAACCGACTATTCCAAGCCGCTCACTACAAGCTGTGAAAATCACCCAAAAGGGATTGACTTTGAGGAAGCGTGAGGTTATGCATATAGTGTTAACCATCTACCATTTACCATGGCTCAAACTCATTTTGTGTGCATTGTGCATTTTACTTAACTAGATGAGACAAATACATGAGAACGGCGACCATGCGCTTCACGAAGCCACACCATTCCGAACACCTTCACACTTTTTTGAACACAATTTTGTGACGAGGGAGTATAACAATTCTCTAGACGAGGAGACTAGGGTCACCGAAGTGGAAGGTAAAGAGCGGAGGATAAAGGGTGAAGTTAACGTTCACTTTTAGTCCAGACTCCATAAACACGCCTTTGGTCTTCAAAAAGCTTTAATTCATCCAGCTAGGACAGACCATTATTATCTTTAGCCTACTGCCAACGCATTAGAAGCTGTTCGATGCCTCTCTTGCAGAACTTTATTGACCTCCTTCCTTCCCTTCACCCTTTCTTTATCACCGGTAAATATGATGGATGATCAACAGAAGAGATAAAATAACCCAACTGTAACATGACGAAATAAAATCGTATCTGGAGCTAAGTCAACGCTGAGCAGAGTGAATGACCGTAGAGTGAGGGAGTGTGCCCTAGCTCATCTTCTGGTCAACCCTCAATGTAGCCTGACTTGTGGAAGATCATAAGCGGTACTTGTGAAAACCAAGGGTATCATCAGTTTCAAAAACGGTGTAATAATCACAAGAAGCGAGACATCGAGCTGATCATCGATCCGAAACTTGTAGAAGATGCATGCTAGTCCACAAAACTGCTGGAATTTCAGTTACTGAAAAATTTTCTAAGTTTTTTGCGGAAATCGATGGAAAAGATAATGAAAACTTCACTGCTCGAGTCCAAGGTGATTCTTCTTGGCCCTACTCGCAGATGCTCAGACCCTAGCGGGCTGTCAATTTTCAACAAAAACGAAGGTTTATACGCCATGGCAAAAAGGCTAAATCGCGATAGGTATTCCAAATACCTCCTGTCTTCACAGAGAATATCTTACGACGTATGATCGGCAGCCTTCTTCCCATGTGCTTTTCTCTAGCAAACAACTTGATTCCAAGTAAATTGTGCAATGAAGGTAAGAGTGAACTGCGAACGTTTCGGGAGACGCTATAGGTTCAGAAACCCATATGGGTGAGTTCAGTTAACGCTATTGCTCAGGACTCGTGACAAATTTTCGTAACCGTTGATCAGATTCCTTAGCCAGCTGGTTGTAGTGTGCCTGGAACAAGATAAATTGAAAACTTTCAGAAGTAACTTTATTTGCAGGTTCTGTGAACAGGTCTTTATAACGTGGTTTTCTTGAGCGGAAATAAATATATTTCATTCAGGAAACATTACAGCCAGAGACTGACCTACACCCCGTAAACAGCGATTATCTGAGTTTTCTGCGATAACGTCAGGTGCTGATCAGGACCTCGTAAACAGTGGTTATGCGAGTTTGCTGCGGTAAGTATAACACTCGAACGAAGTTGCTGCACGACACATACGAATGAATGTCGCCATCCTTTTAGCGGGCCGCACGTTAACGTGGCGAGTGAAAAGTGATCTTATAAAAAATAAGGGGCTTAGCAGTCTTGCTGGTTCCGTATAAAATAAAGACCCGATAAAGCCCATAAATCCCTAGATAATCATGAATAGAACTTAAAAATACCAACAAGTACAACACCAAAAGCCAACTTATAAATGGTTACGAACGATATCGAACATTAAGAAAGAATTATTTCACCGTCCCATGCAGAGAACATCTCGAGCTAGTTATTCCCTGAATATTCTAGAACAATATCGATTGAACTCGTCTCCAAAACTTGGAGAAAAGACAGTCTTGAGAATACAGAGAGTAGAATAAAAATTCATAGTACACGGACATAATCATCACTGTGCTTGCAACATATAATGATGAGAAACAGTTTGCGTGTAGGAAATCCAGGATCCATTGAACTTTAACCATCTGAAACTAGACACATATTAGAGAAATTCGTGCAGCTCTGGCAATATCCCGATTAAGCGTATAAAAATAATGCTTGATGAAGTGGGAAAATCTCTGTGGAAGGGCACGAGATAGGGATTGGGAGCTGGAATGAAAAGTTTCAAAATTCAAAGAAAAATTCATAAAAGGATATGGATCCTGAACAAAAGACCGATTAAAGAATAAGAGCTTATGTAATTCGAATTTTCAAGATACCTTAGAAACCAGAGCTTGTGTCAGCACAACAAAAGCAGTACGGTTAAGCCCGGTACGTTGTGCATCGGCTTCAGCGCAGACTGGACAACAGGATGGAACGGCTAACATTATCGAACCATCTCGGCACAATCACTCCTTATTCTGGTGTCTGTAAAACTATCACAAAGATGTTCGTCTAATAACTATATGAAGCTGAAAACAAAAAAAACTCACTACTGAATAGTGATCCAGAGAAAGGCTTAACAAGTTAGGGGGTTAGGGGCGAGTATGAACCTGCGAGAAAGTTCGCAGCAAGAGACATTTTTCTGAGAACCAAAATCCAGATCGAAGAGTAGGATGAGGTGCAGAAAACCCCGGTACCTACTACTTTTCAGACACTGGCATCCTTTCTAGTACCCATAGAATTCTCGAGGTCCCTATTCACCTTATCAAAACTAACGCGCCCTTATCGGACCCTACAACAGGATCCAACGGTCCGCCTTCACCTTCTGCGCTTTTTTCATTCACTTGGATTTCAAATTCCTCTTAGTCTTAACATTTTTACAATGTTTTGGTGAAAGCTCACACCACGGGCCGAGCAACGCTTACCTGTAGCTCCTTATCGTCATTTTTCAGCAGAGCAGCTATTTGATTTGCCAGGTGAATCGTCACCGAATCTGCAACTATCTTCCGTATGACGTCGCCTGATGCGGTACTACTGCCGAGCGCCTAGATGTGCAATAATTTGGGGATGAAACTAGAAAACCCTCCTTTGAATAAAGTTACAGGCAGACACAGCAGTTACCGTGAAAAATGTTGTGATGAACGCTTCCGGGTTTCCTAATGATAACTCCATGGTCGCACATGGTACAATGTTATTCAAGATTCGCATTATGTGATCCCAAATCAACGACGTAAACCTTTTCGTGTCCATCTCTAAATTGCACAAAGTACTACGAATGAAGAAACAATGAAAATCTCTCGAAGAAAAGTGAAGGCTTCAGCTACTCTCTCTCTCTCTCTCTTGGCTGCTCCACGCCACAACCTTGAGCCTTGTCGCCCAAATTATAAACCAAATACTGTTTCCGTAAAAGAGGCATCAATGGTAGGCGTGGCAGAGAGCTGACTAAAAGCCAGCATCAGGACACAGTCAACACTTCAAAAAATTTTGAGCTCAGTCCAGAAACTGGCAAGGAGGGCTTCCAAAATGCAATTACTGACCTCTTTTCGTTGAATGCGCGAGAATAGCGTAGATCCAGAGCGGGACCATTTGACTGACTAGATGTGAAAATTGACTGGGGAGCCGCGAAAGCACACCATTACAGAATGCAAAGAGAAATTCCGCATCAGGGTTCACACTGAAAAGTCAAATTATAACACACTGGCCTTCAACTTAGCAAAGCAAAAAATGCGGTTTGTACAAGACAAAATTTACTACAGTTTATATAATGGAAGGTTAGGATATGTGACTAACTCTAATCTTTCGAATGATCAGTACGAGGTAAGCAAACCAGCCCTTTTGGCGTTTCGGCTGGGACCGTATGCTGAATGTTGGGGAGGGGATGGGGTCCCCAACGGTCGACGGTTTACTTCAACTCGGTTGGTACGATAGGAGAGTACTGACGCAAGTGGTGCAGCTGGTCCAGCAGCTCCGCCAGAAGGGCTGGTTTGCTCACCCCAGGACTAAGCCTTGGAGAGGGGACGGACCCGTCCTCTCTTTAAGGCTTAGTTCTGAGGTAAACCAAATTGTGGCGGTTCTAAGGACCGAGTTGAAGTGGTCCGTCCACCGTCGGGGACTCCATCCCCTCCCCAACATTCAGCATACGGTCCCAGCCGAAGCGCCAAAAGGGCTGGTTTGCTTACGTCGATCAAAGTACTCGCTTCTTTAGAACATATCAAAAACAAATGAACAGCTTACGGGCCACTCATTAAGCGCAACAAAAGTTCAACTTTGCGGAAAAAAGTGCGCCAAGACCGACAGAATACGAATAGTTCGTTGTAAGGGCGCATTTATAGCCGGTCGTAACGAGATCGTACGAGAGCACAGCAATTGGATGCGAGACGATCAACCAGTCTCGAAAAACGTTGCATGGTCCGGTGCTGTGCCATCATCGATCGGTTACGACCGGACGACGACTACGAATGCGCCCTTAAGGATGATCGGTCAGACTTTGCGATGGCCATAGCGCTGAACCAAGTCCGAGAGAGATCGCGTCGGCTCCGTGCACGAGTCCAGCGCGATGCAATCGCAGAGTCTGACCGACATCTAACGAAGATCGAATCGGATACTCATATGAACTACTTGGGATGGTAAGAAAGTCCTGAGCCGATTTTTCGAAAGCTCCAGAACTTTCGCTTATTGATCGATACCTAGAATCTGCTACGTGATAGACTATCGCTGTCGATCATACTTCTCCGCAGTAGGTATATATTGCCGGGTTGCCTTCTTTAACTTTAATCAATGATGGTCGATTCCACAAGAGCACTTTCGAGCGATCATCTTCAATGAATGGCGCTGCGGCACAGGAGCAGTGGAAACAGCAACATCATCAGCGCATTGGAAAGGGACACCACTTCCACCACCAGTGCCAAACTCTGGTTCGCAGGCTTCGAAGGAGGAGACACGGCTTCCGAAGACAAGACAAGGTTGGGAAGCCCCCAAACAGTGGAACTCCACCGTTCTCGGCGCTGTCGAAGAGGATCCGGAGGTTAGCACCCGCAGCCTTGTGATAAGACTCGGGTGCACCCATCCCACAGTCCTCGGTCCCCTCCACGCCCTCGCCACAGGAAAGTGCCGACTCGATGGATCCCTCATGTCTTGACCGATAGCGCACCGAAAGGCGTTTCTGGAAGGCTTGATTACGGGAGGTGAGAGTGGGGTCCTCTACGATTCTAACAAGCACAGTGCCGTGTGGCTCCCTCGAGGAGAAGACCCGCCGACACAAGCAAAATCGGACCTTCACCCCCCAAAAGCTGTCTTCTTTGCTACCTCTGGGATTCGTGAGGAATGCTGTATTATGAGATGCTCCCGCAAAGACATACCGCTACCGGCAGCATTTACGCCAGTCAGCTCCAGAAACTAGCGGACGCTGTTCAAGAAAAACGACCGAGACGAACTTCTGTCCACCTACTCCACGATGACGCCAGGCCCCACATAGCTAAAGAGACCCGTGCAAAATTGGAAGAGCTGATCTGGGACGCGGTTCCCCACCCACCCTATTCCCCTGACATTGCCCTCTCTGATTATCACTTATTTCATCCCCTTAAGGCATTCCTAGCGAAGAAAAAATTCACCAAAGTTGAAGACGTTGAAAGAGCGGTCAGCGATTTCTTTGACTCTCAGTCTGCTCAGTTCTGGGAGAAGGGGGTCGCTGACCTGCCCATTAGGTGGGACTCTGTAGTGAGTAACAATGGTGATTATATTGTTGAGTAGATTCCATTGTACGCGGAATAAAAAAGCAAAGAACAAAAAAGTGTCAAACGGCTCAGGACTTTTTTACCACCCTAATATTTCGAGTACTTAGCGAGTATTGTAGCGACCTCAGACCGCCGTCAGACTCGCCGATCGCGTCGCTCCATGGCCTGTCCGACGCCGAGTGTGACGGAGGTCTCAAAGAACAAGCGCTAATCGACGACTAGACGTAAAAGGTTGGGCGTGAGTAAGTGCTTCTCCTTCAACTGATGCTAATCGGAATGCGTTAACTCACGAATTCATCTTCTCTAAGGACGATTTGAATCGCGTCACAGAATGTGATGATCTGTTCTCCAATCCAATGGATAGCTAAAATAATACTGTGATTATGCCAGCGTACTCATTGCGCCCCAAACAATATAAAAATCGCACCCCATCGTAGCTGAGGAATTCACGAAAATGATAACGCTTACCTGATTTACAACAAACTCTCGCAGTTTCCCATCACCAGGCTTTGAAACAAGAAGGCTTGCTGCCTTATCCCAGATAGAGCCAGGGATCTCGACAGAGGTATCAATGAGCGAATAAAGAAATTCAAGCAACTCCGCAGTTGAGACCGCCGTAACGAAACGATTCACATCAACAGAAGTGTACTGCTTGGGATATGATTTCACCAGAGAAAGGTACTTCGTGCCAAACACTTTGCTTCTTTCAGGCAATGGTAGAGAGTTCATGCCTGGAATCGCGTCCTGACAGTCAGAAGCTTCCAAAGTTATAAGTATTTCACAGTGAGAATGTCACTGGTTGGGAAGCGAGTAATAATTTAGAGTTAGCTAGAATCATTACTGGAACTATTATCGAGAACATTTCTATTTGTCGATTTTCAAAAAGGTAGTAGAAAAACTTTCATGTTTAGTAATCTATTTTTCAAACTGAAGACCATACTGAATAATGACTCACAATTGAACACCGTGCTAGCTATGTTTGCTTTCTTTCCATGATCCTTCTCGTTCGTAATCAAAGCGAGCACATCAAGAGCATTGAAAAACACAACACACTGGGTATCACTGGCACGTGCGATGGCTCCCGAAATCCATTCGCAGATTTTCACAGGTAACTCTTGCCAATCTGTAAAAGAATTGCATTTCCAAAAGATCTTGGGATTGAGGCAATTGAGCATAAAGGTAATTGGAGGTTTGTTCGGTACGTACTTCACAAAATACCACATAGTATATTACTCCTCACGTTGATACCACTAGGAGCGGGGGAGCTGTGGTCAAAAAGCAGGATGAAAAAAAACTAAAATTTTCAGATAGGACCTATTTTTCTAATTTTGAAGATGAGGACACAGTTGTGGGAGACGCCGTCAGGAACCGTAAGAAAGAAAAAGCATCTATAGTTGTAAAGTGCTGACCGAAGCATAACTACCCCGGTACAAACCGTGGATTCCTGATAAAACTAACCCTCGATTCCTGCAGTGAGCGCTAGAAGCATTGAAAGCATCGAAGAAAGTACACATCCACTGACAAGCAGCTTAACACTTGAATACCTATTGACCACAATGCCACGACAGGAGCTCAGTTGGTCATCTGAACAGAAGAAATATCAAGTACAAATGCCGCAAGAAAACTGTGGAACCATAAAACAATGAAAAAATCATTCACCGGAAAGCAGTCTCGTCAGGAATACTATCAGTACTGGTTCTTCTGCAACGCAGTACTTGAATGAATTGGTCACATAGTCGGCCCATCGAGTAGCATCGCCTCGACTCAATTTTTCCTCAAAAAGTTCAGTGATTTCAAGTTAGTCATCCACTCAGAGATGCGCAGTATGCTGGTCATACAAAGATGGAAAACAGGCTTACCAATTCGGGCATGTCTAGCGTATCGACTGTTTGAAGGATTTTTGTAACGCATTTCGAGGCAAACTTCCTAAAAAAGTTGAAGGAGGATTCAACGATAAGATCGCAGGTCGAAGAATGGGGAACTTAGATAGTGAAAAGACAAGCGGAGTCCCTGAAAATGCCCACCGACACACAATTCGCAGCGAAGGATTTGCCGCTGGCGACCCAGCATTTCCCTCCCCGTGGCGCTAAACGACGCGGCCCACGACTGCGTAACCACTGGCCGCAAGCCACTAGCCGTTTAGCAGAGACCGCTGGCAGAGGAGAGCACCGATGAAAGTTCCATCAAGCAAATAAACTGCCAAGTAAGGGGTCCCACTTATCCTGGGCCGTTCTCCATGGCTTTATTCGTTCATCCATTCACCGCTGATACAAAACCTCAACTTAATCTAAGGCTACCTAGACTCCGCATTCAGTGAAGAAATAAAGCCCACAAACAAAAATGTACATAGATTTGATGCTCAAAGCCACAAAACATTCGCGACAAAAATCCACCATCCCAAAAGATAGGAAATTAATGGAATCATGGCAGTGAGAGAGCCTTCAGTGTTATCCAACTAAGCGTGCGCGTGTGACCGGCCCTGTATCTTTCTATGGACCGCAAAAAAATAAAATTTAAGCCACACTCACTTGGGCGAGATTGTTTTGCGGAAATCAGCCACTATTGGAGTCAAAGTCTTCACCAATTCAAATCAGCTCGTAAGGTAGGAACGAGATGATTTAATTGATCGAACCACTCCTCTACGCTACATTAATGTTTTGCACCTCCTCTTCACACTGTGATATTAACCCCACATTCCAAATTATTAGGCTGAGGAAAGTTTTGAGACCCAAATACATGGATCGTCTGTTAGTCTCTACAAAGTCCTCTGCCGCCGTCGAGCTTACCCATATTCTAGAAGGTATTAGTGTGACCGCCGGGCCCCTAATAGATTTAAAACTAGCGCTCGTTATACACCATACCGTAATGTCAAATGCTGTCCACTTTCGAGCAAGTCATCTACGTATTAGCCGCCGCTGCCAGTACTCGTTTCGCTACCTCCAATATCAGCACTGCATTAGGGAAAAAAAAATCTCGTCAGCCATGCGACGGTTAGTCGTTTGTCCGCTCGTTCTCAGTCTGGAGATAAGATGCTCGACAACGACTTCGTTCCAGGCGACCACTTGTTATCGAAGCCGACTGACATCTCAGCAAAGTGAGGAAGAAGTCGAGGCTACGAGCTGGGAATTGGCGGATCTTCCCGAGTGAATCAGAGCGACGTCGTTCGACACTTTCACGAGCACGATTACAGGGAAGTTTTTGCCTCGATGGATTCCAACCCAATGACGACAAGAAAAAAAAACCCTGGCCGTCACACGTGCGTCTCAAACGCCCAGTCGCTCCTCCTTACCCCAATCGAATGAAATTTCTGCAGGGCCAGGTGATGGGGGATGAAACCTGGATGTTCTATGACAACAACAAGAGGGTCGCATGCCGCTCGCAGAAGGAAAAGATTCACTTTTAGAGCCTATCCGGCAGCACCCAAGATAAGGTCTCGCTGTGCTGCTTTGGGACTCGAAGGAAATGCTATACCACGAGTTCCTTCCTTAAATTCAGGCAGTCACGGCTATCATCTCCAAAAGTCACTTTAGTAAATGCCATCAAGTCGAAGATAAAAGCGCCAGAAAAGGTTTTGCACCTTCTGCACGAAAACGCTTGACCTCACGTCGCAGATCACGCAGTCCAGATTACAGGAACACGGCTGGAGTACAGTCCTCCACCCTCCCTACTCCCCTGACCTCGCCCCTTCTGACTACAATCTTTTTAGGCATCTCGAGCAGCTCCTGGCCAAGAAGAACTTTATTACTTTTAGTGTCCACAAAAGTGCTGTGGCTTCTTCTTCGACTCACAAACCTCCTCTTTATGGGAGAAGGGAACTGCCGCCTTGCCTCTATGTATAGTTTATTGAGTGAGAGTTTAAATGAAGTTTTAAAAGATTTCAAAACACGCATATGAATTGAATTTCATGACTTTTGCATCAACCTGAATTATAACGAACCGTATTTTCACTAGACCTCTCACATCATACTTCTGTATGAATGAAAGAAGAACTTTGCATGTGGGTAGAAGGGCTGTGTCGCACAGCAGGTCTCCCATTCCAGCAACTAGTACAAATCGCGCCATAATCTCATCAGAAGCTGAAAAACATTAGAGCAATTCTTAGAAATCGCACTGAATGGATTTCATTTTCCATTTAATTTCCAAGTTCCAGAATTGAAACTTACGAATTACTCGAACATCAACGAGATGAGAGATAACCTTCTGAGAAGAATACCAAAAAGTTCTCAGGAGGTGTCTTTATCGATCCAAGTGCGCCTATAACAAAGACAATTCGTATGCCAAATACACTCTATTTCGACCATATGTAAAAAATAACTCACTCCGATGGTTAGGAAGATAAAAAGTCTCGCCTTTCGTCAAGCATTGCACAATATGAAAACTACTTTGAAGTAGTTGATTGGATTGCGTCCTATAGAGCTCCAATAAAGTTGACTGGACGCAAGAGCAGGGTATGGCTGAACCCTAATTATAAAGGATGTCAATTCATAGAGCGTAGGCAGAATAATATCTAGTATTTTGAACGCACAACGATACTTACGCAGTTCTTTCGCAATACTGCCAAGCCATCCAGAAGCACAACGAAAGCGTTGTCGACTGTCAAAACACATTCCTCGCTCGGGATCGACTCATATTCTACAATCAGTCTCAAATTCTGTATAGCAACATCTTAAGATTTAATGAATCAGAATACTGCGAAATGTTCCAAAGCCTCATAAAGATAGACCCACTTCGAAATCGAGCAAGCAATTTGCAAGCAGACATCCACGAAAACAATGAAGCATGGAAAGGAATGTTCTAGAATTTCAATCGCTGAACAAAAATGTAACTGATAGCAAGAAAAGTATACAGGAACTTCGAACCAAAGTACCCTGAAAAAAATTGAAGCAAACCTGCGAACAAGCGTTAACTGGAAGAGCAGATACCGCCGTCCCGAGGGACCCAAGTTTCAATAAAAATCGTGACAGAAGGGTACGATAGGACGAAGCCACTTCATCTGTCATGCCAACTTCCATACCAGCGAATTCTAGTAAGCCCAGCACTAAAATATCATACTCATCTGTACTTAACCAGTGAAAACTCTTCAAGAAAACAATTTGAAAAATCGGAATCAAAACGCCTGAAAGGTTATGCGCTAATCATAATAAATACGAGACATTATATGAGCACAACCACATTTATTGTAATTCGAGGCGAGCCTAAGCTTTTCTTTAGAATGCGTTCCAAGTTCCAAATTAATAACGAACTGTAATAAGAATCACAAACTGGAATGTTGCGGTAAAGTCTTCAAAAATCTTCCCTTTTCTTTTTATAAGTATATTTTCCCTTTGAGTATTACTCGCACTAGACCCTCACGATATTGCCCTAATTCCATGAAATTACGTGCATCTAATTTGAAGGAGCGCCCAATACAGCTGAGGAAATCGCGGTATTCGCATACCTTGCATGAATTCCTTCATATTCGCAATGCTAGGTGAACATGAAAGTCGCCGGAATACTTTGAAAAACCTGCCAAAAAGAAATTCAATACCATTTGATGTCTCGAGCTGAAATGAAACATTTAAGCTCGTACTGCTAAGATGAGGGACGGTATGAATGCCTTTGAAAGGTAGACTAACCAACGGAGTGGGGAATGATATTGGGCCCAGTTGAGCGAAATCTGCGTACTCTTCTCGTAAAGAAGGTAACAAGCGAGAGCCTGTGCTGCTTCCTGAGCAGCGGACGGGAGATTCAAGTACAGCGTCGAAGGAAACTGTGAGTGTATCAATATAAAACACATATTTGACACTCATTAAGGTCTACTAACTATCGATACTGTAAATGAAAACGAATGCAAAACGCGAAAATGAAAAAGCGTCAAACGACCAACCTCTGTCACACTTGAACTCACGAACCCATGGTTCTCTTTCACCTGGTGATACCAGGTTGTCGATGTGTAAGCGTAGCAAGGATGTCCTGACTCTGAGCAAAACTGGTGAACTCGGTATCCATCTGAAAAGTGTAGAGTACAGTTTGATATCGTTGATATCCGATAACCACGGCTTCGCAAGACGTGCTAGAATTCCAACTAGAAAGTTCACATAGCGCTACATCACAGGTTTCCTGACACCAACATTCCTTTTCAACGAAATGGAAGCACATTAGAGCCTCCGGACCATCGCCCTGCTTCAATTATCCAGTCAGTTTAGGCTAAAAATTGAGAAAAGGACACCCCCTTTTAATGTTACATCAAAAGTTCAGCATCATCTTAAAAGGTTTTTTCTTTTCAATAAGATGTTGCACCTTTCTCAAAAGTTTGTCTTTAGTAGGGAATCCACGTGACTAGACAATCACTAAACGTAAGTAATAAATACAGAAACCCAGGAACCAGAAATAAAGCCTTCCATAAAACTTGCCAATACTAGCTTGACGGAAAATTAAACACAACAGTTAACGGCAGCATCTTGCGCAACCATCATATGGGTTTAAATCCCATTTAAATTGAAAATTTTAATCGTTTGTGAAAATATTGAAAGCGAATGCGTAGCGCACAACGCAGAGAATGAAGAAGTGGCGATTGCTGAGACGCTGCCAGAGCAAAATTAGAATGTGGTTTCGCGTTTCGATTACTCGGTTGCGTGTATACAAAACGGAAGTTTCGTCGTAGAGTTTCGGAGATGAAATTTAAATTAACAGAATTTTAGCGCGTAGCATATTGCGGACAACGCGCACTTTACCCGTATGAACCAATGCTTTTAGTTTTTCGGCAAAAGCAAATGCTTCGAAGCTGGGTTTTCATTTTTGTGCAGGCTTTTCTTTGTCCCATGGTTTCCCCGGGATTATTTCGCCAGTTATCTTCATCAAGTCTCTAATCAACAAGTTATATCTGAGAAGTGCACATTTCCAAACAAAATCGTTGAGTAATTCGTGGCCGTAATCAAAAGTAGATTTGGTAGGTTGTAATAATTCTAATCGTTGTTCCTGTTCAATTTGGAAGTTAGTTGGTCTCATTTTGTCGCGACACTTGCTTTCACCGAATTCTGTCTATCTAACATTCATTCTTGGCGATAGCGACACTTGGGGCCGTATGCAATAGGCCCCGAGGCTCGTCGGGGATATATCCTGGAAGATCCTATGCAACAAGCCCCGAAGGTCGTCGGGGATATATCTCAAAGACCTCCGGGCTTGTTCCATACGGCCCCTGGCACCAAGCTTCCGCTCGTCTGCGCCCCCTCACTGATTAGATCGTAATCAGGATTAAGCTTTTCGGGAAGAAGAGCTCTGAGGTGAGCAAGCACGTTTCAAGTTTCACCGCACGATTCCCGGTTTACCCACCACGGAGTCCCCCTATCCTTTAGTGTCAGGCACTATGTATGGGGTGTGGTTCACTAGGACAGAAAGCGACTTTTTCGCGTTTCGCAGCGCGAAACATTTTCGCTGCGGGAACCTCAGGTCCACCGCTGATCATCAGTGGACCCGAGGTTCCCGCAGCGAAAAATGTTTCGCGCTGCGAAACGCGAAAAAGTCGCTTTGTCCTAGTGAACCACACCCGTGTGTGGTAAGAAAGCCCAGGAGTTGGGGGAATATGCGCTGAACAGCACCTATATCACAAATGAGGGGTCTCATCCAGTAAGGGGGCATCAAGTGGCTGCCCTCACCCACCCCACCC